GCTGGTCTTGAACCCATGGGCTCAGGGAATCCTCTCACCTCAGCCTCCCAAAGTGCTGGGGTTATGGGCATGAGCCACCACGCCCAGCCAGAACATTACATTTTTGAGGATGTAGTTTATTTTGCTGCAACAGGTGTTTCTATAACCCCAATTAGCTCATATGCAACTGGTAAATAGGGGAATGATTTTAGTAAAATGTGATGATTGTATTGGGTTTATTTGTAATTTTTCCTAGGCAAGGGGAATCAGAATGCAGTATTATTTCATAGGAGAGGAAAAAACTCTTAGCTAGGGTGTTGCACAGATATGTATCCTGTTGGCTCTACTTTTTTTTTTTCTTTGAGTTAGAGTCTTTCTCTATCATCCAATCTGGAGTCCACTGGCATGATCGTGGCTCAGGCTCACAGCAGCCTCAATACCTGGGCTCAGGCAATCCTTCTACCTCAGTGTCCCTGATAGCTGGGACTACAGACACGCACCAACACACCCAGTTTATTTTTTTATTTGTGTAGGATGACTTCTCACTATATTGGCTGGTCTCAAACTTCCTGGGCTCAAGCAATTCACCCGCCATGGCCTCTCAGAGTGCTGGAATTACTGGTGCGAGTCACCACCCTACCTTGTTAGTTCTATTTTAAGATTTCTTTCCTTTTTTTTTTTTGAGTTAAGTTCTCTGTCACCCAGTCTAGAGTGCAGTGGCATGATAACGCTCACCGCAGACTCTACCTCCTGGGCTCAGATGATGCTTCTGCCTCAGCCTCCCGGGTTGCTGGGACTATAGGCGCACACCACCATGCCTGACTAATTTCTGTTTTGTTTGTTTTTGCAGAGACAGTGTCTTGCTATATTGCCTAGGCTGATCTTGAACTCCTAGGCTCAAGCAATCCTCTCGTCTCAGCGTCCTAAAGTGCTAAGATCACAAGTGTGAGCCACCGTGCCTGGCCTTTAGGAAAATGTAATGTGAGAGCGTGCACTTGGGCCTCCCTCCAGAGAAGCTCACCCATGGCCTTTACAATGCTCAGCTTCTGGCAGGCAGCCCTTTTGAGCTCTGAGATCCTCTTGGATGCTCATCATCTCAGTGATTATAAGTCAGCATCTCTACTCTTGTGTTCTTGAGCATTAGAAGAAAAACCTTTTATTTGAGTTAGCTGTAATTTTTGTTATTATTTTTTTTTTGAGTTGGAGTTTCACTCTGTCACCCAGACTAGAGTGCAGTGGCACGATCCTGGCCACCGCAGCCTCGACCTGCTGGGCTCCGGCGATCCTTCCGCCTCAGCCTTCCGAGTAGCTGGAACTACAGGCGCGCACTACCATACCCGGCTAATTTTTGATTTATTGTAGAGATGAGGTCTCGCCAAGTTGCCCAGGCGGGTCTCGAACCCGCTAGCTCAGGCAGTCCACTCACCTCAGCCTCCCAAAGGCACAGGATTACAGGCTGAGCCACCGAGCCCAGCTGAGTTAGCTGTAATTTGTATGCAGTTGTCAGGAGTACAGAGACCCTAAATCTCTTCACCATAACATCTTGCATAATGGAGTACAATTGACTACAGCTAGGTCATTGACATTGATACAGTCCAGTCCATCAGTTTCATTCACATCACATGAGTTTTACATGCACTCTTACACATGCATGTGCATTTACTTCTGCTTAGTTTTATCGTGTGTATTTGTGTGACTACCACCAAAATCAAGACACAGAACAGTCTATTGGAAGGATCTCTGGTGCTACCCCTTTATAGTGACAGCCTCCTCCGTTCTTCCCTCTCCCCTCCCCCATCCCTGACAACCAGATGTCTGTTCTCTGTGTAATTTTATTTCAGAAATGCTACGTAATGGGATCGTAAAGTATGTGATCTGGGAGGTTGACTTTTTTCACTCAGCATTCTTCCGTGGAGGTCCTTCCAAGTTGTTGTTATATATCTGCTTGTTCCTCTTTTTTTTTTTTGAGTTGGAGTCTCAGTCTGTTGCCTATCCTAGAGTGCAGTGGCACGCTCCCGGCCACCGCAGCCTCGACCTGCTGGGCTTCGGCAATCCTTCCGCCTCAGCCTTCCAAGTAGCTGGAACTACAGGTGTGCGCTACCATGCCCGGCTAGTTTTTTTTTTATTTATTGTAGAGACAAGGTCTTGCCAAGTTGCCCAGGTGGGTCTCAAACCTGCAGGCTCGGGCAATTCACTCCCCTCGGCCTCCCAAAGTGCTGGGATTACAGGCTGAGCCACCGAGCCCAACCTGCTTGTTCCTCTTTCATACTGAGTAGTATTCTATGGTATGTGTATTCCACAGGCTAACTTTTCTCCTGCTGAGGATTGTCTGAGTTATTTCCAGTTTTTGGCTATTATGAATAAAGATGCTATGAACATGTAGAAGTTTTTTTTGTTTTTTTTTTTTGAGTTGGAGTCTCACTCCGTCACCCAGACTGGAGTGCAGAGGCCGCTCCCGGCCACCGCAGCCTCGACCTGCTGGGCTCCGGCAATCCTTCCGCCTCACCCTTCCAAGTAGCTGGAACTACAGGCGCGCACTACCATGCCCGGCTAATTTTTGATTTATTGTAGAGATGAGGTCCTGCCAAGTTCCCCAGGCGGGTCTCTAACCCACGGGCTCACTTTTAAACTGAGTGGGTTAAGGGTTGCAGGAGTAGATGGCATTGCAGATGTAGATAACCACATTCCCTTCTTTCATGCAGGGATGATGGCTCTTCTTCCTCAGTCTCGGCACTCAGGCGCCTGGAACGGAGTCAGTGGACCGATAAGATGGATTTGCGGTTTGGTTTTGACAGGCTGAAAGAGCCTGGTGAGAAGACGGGCTGGCTCATCAACATGCACCCTGTAAGCACTGGCAGTTTTCCTGTCCTTCTCCCACTCAGGAGGCGCTCACCCCACTCGGCCCAGTGGAGTGCTTGTCTGAGGAATGGGGGAATCTGTTTGGGTGATACGGGTGGGAGACGGGATTGTACCCAGCTCTCTTCCTTTGTTCTTCAAATCACTGAGGGCCACACAGAGACCACTGGGGGAAGACTAAAGTGAGGGGCAGCTCTGTTCAACCTCAGAATAAATCTTTCAAGGCTTATGAGGGAGAAATTCGGAGAAATCCCCACTTGGAGGTGGTTCTGATGGTTTCTTATGAGTGAGACTGGTGGTGCTTCCGCAGGGATGGCAAAAGGGGTTGGATGAGAGGCTGTGGTAAAGTACTGTTTCCTGAGTAGGGGAGGAAAAGGGTTCTCAGACTGTGCAGAGGATAATCTGCCTGTGTTGACTGCTTCTCTTGTAGACTGAGGTCTTAGATGAGGATAAGCGCTTAGTCAGCGCGGTGGATTACTACTTTATTCAAGATGACGGGAGCAGGTTTAAGGTAAGCCCCTTAACCCCAAGAAGCAAAAATCTACTTGTGATGAACATGAGGTATTCTTTTAGCTCTGTGACTGTCAGGGAGGGCGTAGGAGGCTTCTAGGGCTGGGCTGCCCACAAGTCGTTAGAACTTGGGTCCCTAGGGGCCAATCAGTCATCATTTAAGATGTCCTGAGGGAGATTACTTCAGGAAGATTTTGAAAGGCAAGCAATGTCATGTTTCTTAGCTTCCTGCCCCGTGATATGTGCAGATCATAATTTTTTGTTATTAAGAGCAGCCAAGGTGAGGCTGCTCATGCATGGGTTATGGCAGCAAGCAGTCTGTCTTCACTTTTCTCTCCTTTTTTCCTTTCTCGTCACCTGTTGGTGACCCTTGCAGGTAGCCTTGCCCTATAAACCATATTTCTACATTGCAACCAGAAAGGTAAGTCAGTGCTTCTTAGAATCAGGTCAGACAACTTGTGTCCCATTCTTTGGTGGGGTTTGGAACTGGGAAATTGGCAAAGAGAGACATACTTTATAAATGGAAATCTTTTCATTCTGATCCTGATTTAGGGTTGTGAGAGAGAGGTTTCATCTTTTCTCTCCAAGAAGTTTCAGGGTAAAATTGCACAAGTAGAGACTATCCCTAAAGAGGATCTGGACTTGGTGAGTATCACCCAGACCCCCCAGGGGTAATTGAGGCTGAAGTTCACACTGTCTGTTCCAGGTGAGATTGGAAGAGGAAGATCAGGCTATCTCTTGGGTGGTAGGGTGGTATAGTGACTCTCCATAAAGTCCTCTTAAGGGAACACTCGGTGGCATTAGATAGTGGCATATACTGACCTGGGCAAGGTGCTCCAAGTCACCAGCTCCTTGGCTTGTGTGTCTTCCTCTAAGTTTTTACCCTTGTTTTCCCTCACCAATGATGTCCATTTCTTGAGAACTCATGAGCACCGTCTCTTCACAGCCAAATCACTTGGTGGGTTTGAAGCGAAATTACATCAAACTGTCCTTCCACACTGTGGAGGACCTTGTCAAAGTGAGGAAGGAGATTTCCCCTGCCGTGAAGAAGAACCGGGAGCAGGACCATGCCAGTAATACGTACACAACCATGCTCTCCAGGTAAACTTTGTTCTCATGAGCAAAGCACCAGCTGGTCCAGAATGGTAAGATGGATAGGAGACAGGAAACTCAGCAATAAGTTTCCCTTAATGACTGACTGTTTGAGGTGGAAGCACTTGAGCAATTAGTAGAAATTTCTAGCCGGGCTCGGTGGCTCAGCCTGTAATCCCGCGCCTTTGGGAGGCTGAGGTGAGTGGATTGCCTGAGCCCGCGGGTTCAAGACCCGCCTGGGCAGGCGAGACCTCATCTCTACAATAAATCAAAAAAATTAGCCGGGCATGGTAGCGCGCGCCTGTAATTCCGGCTACTCGGCAGGCTGAGGCAGAAGGATCGCTGGAGTCCAGCAGGTCGAGGCTGTGGTGGCCGGGAGCGGCCACTACACTCCAGTCTGGGCAACTGAGTGAGACTCCAACTAAAAAAAAAAAAAAAGAAATTTCTGTATGTTCTGTTTGTATTATAAAGTGACTTCCTAGCTTGCATTTTATTTTCTATTTAATGCCTCCTTTTTTTTTCTTTCTCTTTTTTTTGAGTTGGAGTCTTACTCTGTCACCCAGGACTGGAGTGCAGTGGCCACTCCC